GAACACGGGCTTTGACGCGGCTCACTTCTCATGTCGCCCTCATCATCAAATCACCCGGGCGTTAATGCGAGCAGAAATATCACCTGTCGTTTTGATTATCCAGAGCAGCATTTTCCGCATGGAGGTTTGTTGTGTTTACTTTTGGATATCTGCCCGAATGCCCAATCCTTCGTCGGCCAGAATCCCGTCAGCCAGCGCGCCTGCCAAGTCTGCCTGATCTGACAACACGGGAAGGGAAGAGCGATCTACGGCACATGAAGTTGGACGCCCAGCCAGTGTGAGCCTCCCGGCGAGACGCGTTTTGATCGCCAGAGTCATCAGACGAAAAGACACGCATGCAGGGCAGACAAGTCGATGCGCCTCTGGGCCTCAAATGCCAATTTTGTAGCCCAGCGAACGCCCGTCCCAGCCGTTGCCTTCACAAGCTCCCGCAGAGGCGCACGCCACAGAGCCTGTCCCGCACTGAGGAGGCATGGACATGTCCCGCCACAGCTTTTTTCTCGCATCGGTCGCGCGCGTGCGCGCCCCCCGTCGCTCCCACAAGCCGTGTGACTTGATCCTCGTCCTTCATTCCCGCGTTCTTGCCTTTTTGGGTGGGGAACCTAACGATAATGAGACGTGCAGTTCGCGAGACGCGGCATGCGTCTTTATTTTTGAAATCGTCGTCTTCAGGGACGACTTCAATCACCCGTGGAAGAGATATTTCCACTTTCCAGGGAACGGCCGAGCATGGAGTCGCGTAGAGTTGCTTGCTCCTCGACGACTGCCGTCCCCTGTCGTTCGCGAATCGCAGAGGAGGGGGTCAACCTAGGTTGCAGCTTTGTCGCGACGAATGAGAGGGCGGTGCTGTACTTCTGGTTTCCTATTCGGCCACACTGCTTGAAGCTTGTTGGATCATCGTCGCAAACCTGCCTTTTCACAGTCGCATTCGGAGCACGGCGACTGTCGAGGCGAGCCGGTCTCCGGAGACCGCGCAGAATATTGACAATATCGCAGGGTTTCTTTGCGAGGCGCTGCACGCGATGCTAGGTTTGGTGATTGGCATTTGAGTCCCTGGATGATGAATTACCACTGGTCGTCACAGCGGATAGAACGTGTCTAACGCGTCTTGTTCTGACTCTCGTCATTTCACGGGCAATGCATCACCTCGTCCGGACCCGCGAACTGAACAAACGGGCAGACAAAGTAGACACTCAGTGTTTCGAGATGCCTCGTCAATGATGCAAACCATGACCTTTGGTGTCCCTGGACGTTCCTGGGGCTTAGTAGCCCCACGCGCGCGGCCGCCGTCGACAATCCCATTGTTGTTTATTGGTGGTGAAGTTAGTTAGTCCTGTCAGCCTGTCATCACGACCCCTTCCGCCCCTCTGCGGGAAGGATTCAGTGACGGCGGCGGCGGCGCAGCCCGCGCCCGCCGCCCGCACGCCGTCTATTCTCGGGAAACCTATCGTTGGGCCGTGTTTGGGTGAACGGCGTCAGCGCTTGCGGTGGGTTTTCGCATTTTGAAAGGGTGGGAGGGGTAGGGATGCATGGTGTTTCGGTCACGGGATGCTTTCTGGTTTGGTGTGTGAGGTTTGCTTTCGTTGGTGGGTGTTTTCTCATGTGATCTGGTGTTGGTGCGAGACGCGACTTCGTTCCACCGCCCTCGAAAACATGAGGTTCTCTCGTGTCGAGATTTCCAAACCACAAGGGGTAGCAGGGGTCAAATGGAAGCAAGAACTGAATAAATGACCGCTTTCCTGTGTCGATGCAGCGTGATATGATGCAAAAAGCGGGAGCAAAAAATGGCAGAAATGCAAAAGTGTTCCGAAACCGAGAATCGAACTCGGGGCTATGCCTAACCTCGCATCAGAGATGAGAGGGCATCATGTTGGCCACTACACCATATCGGATATTGATGGAGTAGGTAGCAGGGGAAGTTGCATATGACTCGATGGGCGTGGGAGGCGGGTCCGCTTAAGCTGTGGGTTGTGGAGTTTGGCTTGCGGGATGTTGCTTGTGAGGGTGATGGGGTTGGCCACAGAGGTTTGCTCCTGAGAGGAGGTTGGGTATTGTTTATGGTGCTTTGTGTTGACGTGCTGAAACTTGAGGGGCAGAATCTAGATGTTTGCTTCTCAGTGGAAGAGTTTGCGTGAGATCCATGGATGGCAGTATGATATTTGTTTTGGATCCTAAAGAACGTATTGATTTTGGGAGTTGTATGTTCTTATCTATAGTCTGAATCAAGACTTTGCACAACGTCTGGTTTGTCCTTCGTTATAGCTAAGCAGATAGTTGTGGCATGTCATTCATGAAATGACTCAAGCTTTGCGCCAGGCTCGTTAGACGAGCAGCAGAACCAAATCTCCATCTGCCGAAAACCCGTTCAACAACACACGTCTTCGTGCTTGTTCCAGTATATGCGCTGACTTATAACATCATCTCTCACTTCCCCCAACCATTCTTCTAACCTCTACACGTTCTCAAGCATCAACCAACTTATGCTCCCTCGGCCTCAACCTCACCAAAAGCGGCCCCTTATCATACACATTGAACGCCCGCTGGCCCGCGACCCAGTCGTCCTGGCCCGGCTCGAGCGCGACGTCGAAGTTCCAGAGGAAGCGCGCCACGACGAGGCGCATCTCCGCGTAGGCGAGGTTCTTGCCGATGCAGTCACGCGGGCCGGCCGCGAAGGGGCGGAAGGAGGCCTTGTTGTCGCTGGCGTAGCGGGCCTCGTGGAGGGGGTGCGCCTCGGGCAGGAAGCGCTGCGGCTTGAAGGCGTCCGGGTCGGTGAAGTTGCGGGGGGAGTGGTGGGTTGCCCATTGGTAGACGGAGATGTATGTCTGTGAGGGGAGGGTTAGCGAGGTGTCTCTCTTTGTTTCTGGGGGATAGTCCAGCGGGAACTTACGCCCTTGGGCACGAAGCGGCCGTCGATGTAGTCGCCGGGCGAGATACGGGGAGGCGTCTCGGCGGCCGGCGGGTAGATTCGCAGAGTTTCCTCGAGGCAGGCGTGAAGGTATTGCAGACGTGCCGTGGACTTCATGTCGATCTCCTCTTCGCTGGTAAACGCGTTGCGGATTTCTTCCGTCAGGATACGGTACACCTCAGGCGTGCGCGTTAGATGGAAAGTAAGGCCGCAGAGAGCGGTGGCCGTAGTCTCGCTGCCAGCGATAATAAGCGCCCGCGCGTTGACGTGGATCTCCTCATGGTTCATTCCCTTCCCGTCCTTGTTGTTGCGGAGGATGTACGTCATGAAGTCCTTGCGCGTGTCGGAGCCGAGGGCGAGCCTCTTGTCCGTCTTCTCGCGCGCCAGGTTGTCCGACTCGATCTTCTTCTCGATGTCCTTCTTGTCGATCATGAAGAAGAGCAGCGGGCGCAGGACGGGGTACTGCGAGAGGAAGTTGAGCTTGGCGCCGGCCTTAATGGTCTGGAACAGCATCGCGACCCAGGGGTGGTAGTTGCTCTTCTCGAGGGAGTAGAAGGGGTCGCCGAAGGCGAGTTCGCCGATGACGTCGAAGGTGAAGTAGTTGAACCAGCGCGTCATGTCGAGGACGTTGCCCGCGCGCGCCTGCTCGCCGAGGCGGGCGATGAGCAGGTCGACGTAGTGCTTGATGAAGCCCTCCTGCTCGGTGAGGGCGCCCTCGGAGAAGGCGTGCGCCATGAGGCGGCGCTGGCGGCGGTGGTCATCGCGGTAGGCGGGGAAGATGCCCATGCGGCCGGGCAGGCCGTAGGCCTCGATCGTCTTTTCGTACTCGGGTTGATGGGGTCGTCTGGAGAAGACCTCGGACCAGGCGAGGGAGCCGTCCACGGCGAGACGGTTGGGGGAGATGCGGACGATGGGGCCGTACTTTTCGTGGAGTTTGACGGTGTCTTTTGTAAAAGTGCCCAAGAGCATGTTCTGCGTGAGGAAGGGGAGGTGGGATGCGGCGTAGAGTTTGGGGCCGGGGAAGCTGGCGAGGGGGTGGAAGAAGAGCCTATAGATGACGATGCCGACTCTGTAGACCACGCCCTGTTGAAGTTGGGGTTAGTATTTGGAAACTAGTCGTTTGATAGCAGACTTACAGCAGTGACGAGGAATAAGATGGCCGACCCAAGAGTCAAATTTGACGTGACTGCATCTTTCAAAGCTGGCATTGTGGCGGTTGACAGACTCATGTATGAGTTCGTCAGAAGATTGAATGACAGGACGAACACAGAGCCTGGAAAGCCAGCAGTTCTCCCTTGGACTTAAAGAGTCTCGTCACAACCAAGATCTATCGATCTCCTCAACCCTTGCTAGACGAACTCCCGCCATGCATGCAATGGCCCGAGCCGTCGACGACTGCCGTGCCGGACGATAGCCAAATGCCCGTGTCCGAACGTAGCTGCAGCTTTGATACAACCTCAGGTATCCCTCCGCAACAGCTCCGCAACAACTCCGCAAAGGTTCATGCATCGGACTTTGAATCCGCTGGATGGAGAGCGATGATCGGCTTTTCGGCTTTTCAAGCCCCACCTCCACCTACCGGGGCCGGGTTGCTTTCACCGGGGCACGACGCAACGGCGTGCGTCTAGGCTCCGACTAGATACGAACACGGACGGAATGGGGTCGTTGACTCGTGTGCTGCAGGTACGGAGTTCGGAGTTGAGTACGATAAAAGAAGTTCAGCAGTAGCTGGAGACGCGTGTTGTGTTACACACCGTACTATTGTCTTTGGAATTCAGATCTAGGAGGTCTGAGGAAGCACTGCGAAGACCCTGTGCAAGTTATAGCGGTTTTGACAATGAATGGCAGGTGGTGAGCTTGAAGGAGCGTTCTTCGAAGCAAGAAACGAGGTTTCAGCGAAGTCGTCTCCATGATCTCGAGTGCTCGTCTTCTAATTTCACGTGGGTTTGATGCGAACGAAAAGACAAGGATCAGTTTTACATGTAGTCAACTTCTGAATTGCTTCCCAAAATCCTGTTACGCCTAATCCCCGAAGTCTTCGCATACCATACATACATCTCCTTCGTTGTTACACCCAGTCTCGTCCGAGCATGTCTCAGACGAAAGCGCAGCCAAAAGACGCAAGTGAGAAACCGACACCTGCTATCGGGTGAATTTTGGAAATGGCATCGGCCATGGTGCCACCAATATCAACAATACCAGCGCAGATGTCTCCGTCAAGACTCTGCGCCTCCTCGAAGGAGAATCCGACGTTAAGAAATGATTCGAAGCCCTTCTTCTCGTCCTCATACCGAACATTGATATGGTCGGTGGCTTGCCATTGATCAGCGTAGTATTTGTCCTTATCTGTTCCCCCAGTACATTGGTCAGTCACGGCTCTCGGTCGCCAAGACAGCGATAGAAAGGATCGAAGTCCGAGTAGGGATGAACTTACGGATACAGCCGTTCTTAGTCTGTTGGCAAGGCTTGGTGTAGTAAGGAACGTCCTGTTCCAGCTTGTGCTTTCCCTCGTAAAACATCTTTTTCATGACCGTCTTGGCCATTCCGACAAGATGAGCTTTATCACCAGGCTCTTTCTCAGTAGCGAAGCTACCCTCAACCGTGAGAATCAGCTCCGTCTCCTGGCCCATATCACCGGCGCCGATGCGCACAGTTTTGACTTTGCGGGGCTCCCCCGGCTTGCAACCGTACTCCCCACATTGATTGAGGATGGCATCGAGAGTAGCTGAAGGTAAGGCGCTTCCAAAAAGAATCAAGTCATTGCCGACCTCAATCTGGATGTTTCCGCCCTTGTCACTCTTCCAAGTCTCGCCGTCGCGAGTTTGCAAAGTCGCAGGATAGGCGATAGCGGGGACGGCCGAAGTCACTAGCGCGGCAGCGATAGTAGCAGCGGAGGCTTTCATAGCGATTAAGTTTCAACGGACGTTAAGAGGTTTTGTAAAGTAGATGACAGAATAGACTAGTAAAAGCAGGAATTGTCGATCGTTATTGCAATGATGGTGTTTGTGATGAGAAAGAGAGAGAGGATAGTATTGTATGCGGCATGCCGTCCTCACTTTATACGCAAGAAGTGCTCCCATCTAGCCTGGCATAGATACAGCCTCCCCTTTCTCGTTCGTGCCTCTATATTAGGTAGCTCTCAAATCTTTCAGGAGAAAGTCACGAATACGAGAATTGTAACTTAGGCACTCCAAACTGCCTTGTCATTAGAGCACACTCACTGGCTCGCCAAATGAGCCACAGGGTAGATGAGCCACAGGGCTGAGGTCCTTGGCAAACTTGCGTAGGACCGGCTGCCTGTGCATTCGTGCCTTGTGATCAATCGTCGGCGGTGCTTTGCCTGTAAACGGTCTTTACTTGGAGCCCGGTGAGACGCCTTTAATCAGGCGGACTGATCAAAAGTCTTCATGTCCTTGATGATCCAATCCAGAAACACTCAAACTTTTCGCACAACTGAATAAATATCCACCGTGGGAAAAGGCGTAAGTTATAAGGAATGCAATACTTCTCTGTGCAGCATCTGCTTTCCTGCCATGAATGAGGCCCCATGACATCCAACAAGCACATCACCCACAAAAGTCCTGAATTGCTTGCTCGACCCCCTCATCGTTCGGATCTCCAGCAGAAATTCTGAGCGAATTTTTCACATCGTCTACAGTCGTCTTCCCAGCCGCGTCCCGCGAGCGACATAAAAGCGTTGCAACCCGTAGAACGTTCTTAATGCGTCGTCCATCCATTGGGAGGCTTCCAAGCTTTGCAAACTCTTCTTGAGAGATAGCATGGCCATCTTTCTCGGCAAGATAAGACCAAATCAGAGTCCTCTGGGGAGCGCCAGGCTTGTCGAACTCGAGACGAACGTGGATTCTGGAGAAGAAGGCAGTGTCGAAATCTTCAATTCTGTTGGTTGTGAGAAACATAATTCCAGATTGATACTCCAACATTCGAAGAAGAACTATGAAATCAAGTCAGTCATTTCTTCTCGGCTGAAAGGCCAGACCAAGATTGGACGAACTAGACACGAGAGCATTCCGCTCGATGTTATCTTCGCTGCGCTGCGCCATGAATGTGTCCGCTTCATCAAAAAGCAAAATAGCACCCCACCGCTGCATGCGTTTGAATACGCGACTCAAGTTAGACTCAATATCCCACATCCTGAGTCCGAGATCTCCACCGGATGCATAATAGACTGGGCACTGCAAACTTTCTGCTATGACTTCTGCCAATTATTCAGCTTGCGACGTCTGGACAACGAAGTTAGGTCGGTAAGCTTACCCGCTGTCATGGTTTTCCCACTTCCTGGAGGACCGTGTAGGAGGAAAACAAGACCTCTTCCCTTCCCAGCTACAATGTCGTCAAACAAGCTTGTTCCCAGCCGATGCTCTCGCACCAGCCTCCATACGGCATCTTTACGCCGGGGTTCCAGGTGCAGATTGTCAAAGGCTTGTTCATTCCAACGAATTTGCCCAATATGACTAATGAGAAAGAACCCCCAGGACCGATGTGCCAGTGAGAACCCCGGAATAATTGAAGGGAGGGAAGCAAGATCCATTTCAGTCAATTTTTCAAAAGGGATTCCTGTGAATTCCTCCACTTCTTGGCTCACATTGCACGATGACGGAAGATTTGGGTGGCCCGGTGGTGACCTTGACCAGGATACCGGTCGCTGACGTCGAGTCTCATCTCGATACCCAGGAAATTCTTCCAAAAATTGAGGTGAATCGATCAGTACCCTGCCGGCAGACTAAAGATAATTAGACTTAATTTGACGACGGGGAATCGCCCTGATGGTAGATTTATGCTTGCCTCAGACGTGGGGGGGCCAAGAAACATGTCTAGAAGCGCCGAAGAACTGTTCTCGTGGGTGGCGCCGGAGCGACCCCTGGTATCATTAACGCGAACCTCCCAAACAGGCCCGCGGTAGTAGATATGAGAGCCAAAGATCTTTTGGGTCAAAGGAGTCCCGGAACCGCCTAAACACAGCCTGGAGTATTCCGATCCCCTGACCTTCAAAGAATCGAGCAGAATGTGAGGATCTGAGTGATACTTGATAGGGTATACAGGAAGTTCCGTGATGTTCTTCGTGCCGATGAAGTGACTTAGTTTAATGGTTGTGTTCACAGAACCAAAAACAGTGCCGTTAAACCCGGTATACTTCAGTCTGAGCTCGAGTTCCAGATTCTTCTCCTCCTTATTAGGATCTTTGATAAAGTGACAGCTGTGAAGCAGGGCAATCCAGTGCGTTGGTAAATGTGAAAGATAGCGGTTGGTCAGAACAACTGAGTGACCGGGAGCAAAGATGAATGACAGCAGGTCGAATGTAATCAACCCATTGGGCTCCAAAGCTTGTAGATCAGTGATGGTACGGGCCATGTAATCCTCCCGGAACTTCTGCAGAAGCTGCAGCTGATCTCGCAGAGATTTATCCTTGGACGCATCAATTGCATCTTGAATCCGCCTTTGGCAATGATAGATCTCCACGTAGGGATCAGGAATGATGATGGGATCTTGATGTAGGTTGATATTGACGAGCCCTGTAGCAATTTCGATGAAAGCACTCCGCAGAGTACTGGACTGGATCTCGAGCTGCGATATCAAACGTTCTTCCATTTGCTTTTTTACGACTATGTGCCGCAAAACCAATGCAGCATCGCCGAAACGAGACTCTCTGCGCCTCTGCTGCTTGACGTTTTCGCCAGTCCGATAAACTGCTGCGATATCTCCCCATGGGTGATTCTCTTGAGTGACATCCTCGAGTTGGATTCGATATGGTCGTTCATTATCATCTTCAATTCCCAGACTTGAGTCAACCTGGTCTGAATGTTGATTGGGCTCAAGTTTAGACTTATAAGTAGCAAAGAGGCGGTCGAAATCATTGTCCATGACGTTGTATAGTCAGACGAGCTGTTTCAATAGAAGCTCCAAGCTTGAACGTTGGTATTTGAAGACTGGAATGTATTTCAGACAATGTCTGAGGGAACGCAAAGGTATTTGAGGGACCTGCTCATCTCGCGTAAGATCAATCGACTAATTAGCGCAAGTCTGCATGAGAACATGACGTTAGCACTTACAATAGGAAAGGTAGTACCACTTCACAGCCTGATCTTTTCCGGCCGCTGGTCGAAGCAGGCTACCTTGGCATGCAGAGAGAAACTTGCCGAGAGACCGTAAACAACAAGCGACCGTCCAGTAAAACATGCTACATGCTCCTTGCACGCCTCGTGACACGTGTAGGTAGGCACCCTTGGTCTCACTGCATATTGAGGACAGGCGCTTCTCAAGCCAGCTCCGACCTAGACTGAATTTGTAAACGTCACTCCAGGATCACTCTTTACAGTCAAATACTCCAACTCTACCCCGTTCTCTAACCCTCTCAACCTTGCGTCCAATATCTTGGATCACCGAGTTACCATGACAGCTCTTCGAAAGCGCGCATCAATTCTCTCTGCCCTACCCAGTACACGACCCTCGAATTCGAAGCGGTTGCCGGCTGTGGCCATCAGCCAAGATCGTTGGAATAATTACAGCATTCCAGAGATTGATGTCGAGGCTGTTTGTCGCGCAGTGACTCTGCATAAAGCTTTCGAACTGCAATCGGGTTACACTATTCGAGATCTCCCTAAGTTCAGCGACCTTACTCCATATGGAGGTATCACGGAAGAGGCAGAGGATGAAATCTGTAAGCTGGAGGCCCGCCGGTTGGTTGGAATCGCAAATTCAGACAGTCCAATCAGCCTACAAGGCAATGAGGACATGCTCGGACCAGCCGACGAGAATGGTTACTTCCGGCTCCATTGGCTGGGCCAACGTTTGGTTCAAGCCTTGCAGATTTGCGAGCACGATACAATACTGGTCAAGATGGAATATGTTGACTGGACATCCAGTCGAATGTCATCGTATGCGAATATACAGGCACGTCTGCTTTCGTACTTTGACCCTGCTACTGGGGATGAACGGTTTTCTGGATCCCCACTCCTCAAAGGAGAAAATTACGAACGCTGTCACCATGCGATGGTCAATTATCTCACAGCAGTACTTGTGAGGGTCATTCTTCAGAGCTTCCGAGGCAATCACTGGGTTAACAACATCATCGCGGTGATTGCACGAATCTCGGCAAAGTTAAAAGTTGTAGGACATGATCTTTCTGCAGCCACGGAGCAGACACTGCAAAACGGCAGCGAAGCTCGATCGCGAATCCATAGGCGAGAAGTAAAGGATAATCAATACTTGGCAGACAATCAAGGGTACGAAGTTGAGAAGGATACACATGTCCCGCGACATACCCCGAACCGCGTAGGGTACGCCAGCAAGTATTTCTTGGAGATGGACCTCATTCACAACGCCGTCATCGACATGCTTATCGATTCTCTTACTGCATTTGCTGTCAACAACCCCTTGGCGCCAGGTGTAGACGATTTCGAAAGCAGTACCGCACTGTATGAGTCTTTCATCACTCCAGAGCAGATTTTAATCTGCCAACAGCGAGACGGTGGCATTGGTGCGGCAAGCGAAACAGGTGTTACCCGTGCATTCACCGCGGGTTTTCAGGTCTGTCGTCGAGTTTGGGAGACTCTTGAAAAACAGTCCACATCTCATACCAATACCAACTGGACATCTGTCAAGTGGACATGCTCTTTCGTGGATGATGGAGACAAAGTGCAGCTTCATGACCGACGGGGTGCGGTCAAACTGGGGTCGATGGCAAGAGTCATCACGGCAACCGTTCCTTACTCTATGATATCAGGCACTTTTTGCGCTTCCCTTCACACACTCATCGACGAAATTCTCTTCAGATTTGGCCAGGACACCCGATTCGCATTGAATCTCGTTGAGCAACCTAAAATAATATGCACTGCTATTCTACGAACCAGTCGGCACCAATCTCGGCGACCAACTGCCAGAGATAACGACGATGCGTGTCCCGTCTCTGAAACTTCCTTACTCCAGAAGAGAGCAGTTGGCAATGTAGGTAACTCCTTTCAAACTCATTCACATGCTCGCACTACAAGCTGGGCTCCGTTGAACCGGAACAAGACGACTACACTGAGCGACCGAGAGCAAGCCAAGACATCTCTTGAAGCAGTAAAGAGCGAATACTTGAAATGGATCATTGACGATAATGCCATCATAATTTCCTGCAAATGGTATGCGTGGGGTTCTTTGATGGCTTGCGCCCTTCTGGTTCTTGGTGGTCTTGGAGTTGGCTTTACTGTGGGCGACAGAATCCACGCTGTTGATCCATTCAATATTAGTGTTTTTTGCTGGGTTCTTGCCGGATTCATCCTTCTTGTTGCAAAGGCGGTTCGCGTTGCGGACTGGTCCTGGAGTCATTTCCTCAGAGGACAGGTCACCTGCCGCTCAATTGAGGAGGTGGTGGCAGTCAGCGGCGTTAATGATCAACTCCTCATTGCAATCCTACTCAGATCCGACAGCCAACTCCATTTGCAAACTCGAGGCCCCTTCAACGTCATGTTTCTGCGAAGAAGCTCCGATATTCTGGGCGGGTTTTCCATCGACGTTCCGATCAAGATGACAACAGCTGTTGAGGGGGGTTTGATACCAATCAAAATACTCGCAGAATGGGGTATTGGATTGGTATTTCTCTCCGCGCGCTCCTGGATACCTTACAACGTTGTTTCTAACTCCAAATCATTTGGAGAATGCCCTGTTGCTCGGAACATTATGCATCCGGCGTGGTTGATGGATGGGAAGATTCCGTGCTACCGACTGAAATTGGAAGAGGTCTATATTCACCAGGTCTTAGGAGTGTTTGAGAAGGAGTGCTGTTTTTACTGATTGAATTGCATCGTTTGAGTACTGGGTTTGCAGGCTCAGGCAATCATTAGCCATTTCAAAATCAAGTTTAACAACTGAGATCAAACCAATAAATTCAACTCTTCTGAACGCAACTTCGTAATGCGAAAGGCCCCAGCTTCAGGACTAAATAGCTCCTATCAGGCTGTCTTTCCAAGTGACCCGCGCGGCACCGCCAACCCCAGATTCCGTTCCATTGGGTCTGGGGTCTCTGAGCCTAGACCAGGATTCCGTGACCAGGCCAACCCGGAGGTTCAACCGGCGAACGGGACTAATCAAAGCTTAAACAACGTCGGGGCTCCACCGACACCGCAAACGCCGGCTTTCTCGAGTTGTCAAGGTTTCCGTGTTAATTAAACCAATCTTATAGCACCAGGCGCCCGGTATGGCCGGAACGGCGAAGGCAACGTCGGCAACATTTGCACTCGAAGCGTCAACATCACGTCAAGGCACGGCCTACGAGTCTCGGGGCGAGTATTCCCGCATTCGATATGTTTCCAAAAGTCAATCAACCCCGGCACGGATCCGTCGGGCCCGTAGGTCGCCGGGAATGATTATAAAGAGATGTGCTTCCCTGAGTGGGAGCTAGACTTCTGAATTTTCTCTGTAGGTGTCATTGAGGCATCATACGTGAAGATATCCCCACCAAACATAATAATTCCTAATCCAGTCTTTGACAATCCACTCATTCTCAATTAGCAGTCACTCTCTCATTTTCATTATACTATACGCCAAATATCACAATGAGGATCTCCCGCATCGCCTCGCCCTGGGCGCTACTCCTACCCTCCGCCCTGGCAACCCCCTACGCTGTGGACGCAACTGAAGTTGATCTCGCCATCATCGGAGGCGGCTCCGCCGGCATTCATGCCGCAATCAACCTCAAGGACGCCGGCGCAAAGGTCGTCGTGATCGAAAAGAAGTCCCAGATCGGCGGCCACGCCGAGACCTACATCAACCCGCAGACCAAGGTCCCCGCCAACATCGGCGTCGTCGTCTTCGAGAACCGCGAGGTCGTGAGCAACTACTTCTCCCGCCTCAACGTCTCCACCGTCAACACGAACCCCCTCACCACGCAGTCCGGCACCACCCAGAGCTACGACTTCTCCCTGGGCATCCCGATCCCCGCGCAAAACGCCTCGGCGACCGCGGCGCAGCAGCAGGCCCTCCAGGCCGCCGCGCAGGCGTACTCGACAAACATCCTGTCAAAGTACCCCTGGATCGACCAGGGCTTCCTCGTTCCGGACCCCGTGCCCGAGGAGCTCACCGTCCCCTTCGGCGAGCTGGCGCAGAAGTACGGCTTCTCCGCCCTACTGCCCGTCATCGCGCAGTTCAACTGGTGGACCGGCGATATTTCCGCCATCCCGTCCCTCTACGGCATCAAGGGCCTCGGCCCGGGCCTGCTTGCCAGCCTCTTTGGCGAGTTTATCGTCTCCGGCACCGGCGACACGCGTAGCCTCTACGATGCCGCGGCCAAGGTGCTCGGCGACGACGTCCTCCTCGACTCGACCATCTTGAAGGTGAAGCGCGGAGCCTCCGGCGTCTCCGTGCTCGTCCACCAACCTGATCAGCCCCCTAAGCTCATCCGCGCCCGCAAGCTGCTCATCGCTGCTCCCCCAACCTTGGACAACGTCGGCCAGTTCGACCTCTCCTCCCACGAGAGGAACCTCTTCTCCAAGTTCTCCGCCCTGGGCTACTGGGCCGGCGTCGCCACGATCCAGGGCCTCAACAACAGCCTGCAAAACGTCGGCGCCACCACGCCCTTCAACCAGCCCGCTATCCCCGGCACCAACGGCCTCTACACAGCCGGTTCCCCTGGCGACTTCCTCGTCGCCGTTGGCTTCAACGACACAAACTACACCGACGAGGACGGCAAGAACGTCATCCGGAAGAACCTTGCGACCCTGGCCGCCGTCGGCGCCGTGCCCAAGGACGCGGCCGAGACGGTGACCTTCCCGTACTACTCCAACCATGCGCCGTACAATGTGCGTGTCTCCGCGGAACAGATCAAGCAAGGTTTCTACGCGAAGCTCCTGGCGTTGGAGGGCGCGAGAAACACGTACTGGGCTGGCGCGGCATTCTCGGGACACAACAGCGCATTGGTTTGGTCGTTTAACGAGGGAACTGTGCTGCCAGGGCTGAAGAAGGACCTGGGCCTGTAGGGGCTTGGAAAGACCAGTAGTCTGTAGATAAAAAGTTGTAAAATCATATAGACTTACACGCTTAATAATATGCGCCGAGTGCCCTTTGTTCACCACAGTGCATCATATGATGTCGTGTGTCACTGATAGAGAGAATATTCCTCTGAATTGTTCCAGAGTCCTTGTGTCAGAGATTCCCAACATTATAGTTGCCGATTTGGCTTTTGGGTTTCCGTCCTTTTCCACCTGGACCTGCGGATAACTGGTACAATTCGTACAGAGCTCATAAATCAGCAACGCAAACTCTACAGACAGACGAAAGCAACCCCATAGTTGACAACTCAGGAGTATCTGGCAACTGCCATGGACATAAAAGCAGAGCCAAAGTAAAGTACATAGCTTTGTTATAACAGAAACATCTATTTAGGAAGGCTTGCTAAGGGACATCTTAAATTTAAATTTTTGAACGACTATGAATTACTATAGATATACGCACTCGATCTCAGCTCACATCTGGACCTATAACTTCCAGTCGGCCAACAATGAGAGTGCTTCAATTCTGCGCCGACTTGTTGCCACAAGCTGCACTCTGAGAGCGCGGGCCCATCTGCAAACTCAGAAGACTATCTATCTCATGACGTGCTTTAAGGTTCTGAGTTCTTGCTTGCATGGGTTAGGTCAACATACAGTTTTAGGACGTTTCCTGAATCCTGAAGTCTAAGGAAATCGGAAAGCTCCATGTCAACTCACAACGGCCCATCAACGAGTTTTAGCCAGGCACTCCCTTGGTCACGTTCTTAGTCGCAACATCTCATTATCACATCTTGGGCACTGACTCTAGGGGGCGATAAGTCTATTGAGTCTCGAGTGTCTGCGCGTACCTAGTCAAACCGGAGCTGATCGACACTATTTCTCCACTCTTTTATCTACCGGTCTATCTTCCGGAGCCAATTCCCCAACTATCTGACGTCCCACATCTAGCAACGTTGGTTGTCAAACGACCGGTCAACATATTCAGTGCATCTAGCAGCTCTTCCAGATGCACTGAGGGCAGTTGGAGTAGCAGAATCCACCACATCCCTTGCGACCATCAGGGCAGGTGCAGCAGGTGCCGCGCGACTCGAGGCCACCGGCGACACCTTCGTCAACGTCAACAGACGTATCAATTCCCTTGGGAGATGCCATGGAGACACCGGCGAAGAGGGTAATAGCGGCGAGAACGGCGGAGACCTTCATTGTGGACTTTGAGGGTTGGTTAACTTTTGAGAGCGGCGTCTTTCGGATAAACAGGATTCTTACATTTGAAGTAGCGTCTTTGGCGAACGAAGAGAGGCTGAGATGAATTTGGAGAGTCTGAGGTGTTGATGTCAGCGTTTGGGGACTGGTTGGTAACATGGATGAGATGTACCTTGATAGTCAAGTTGCAAGTGTTAGACAAGTCACAAGAGGCTTGATGATGAGAGAAGCCCTACGTTCAACGGCGACATTTGGCTCTTTAATAGTTTTTTTTCTGTCGTAGACTCTCACGGCGTCTTGACCAGAGTCCTCGGCAACTTCACGGTAAACCAATCTATCTGCGCCATTCAATGCCTCAACTCTACATCGATGTGGGAGAGTATCACGAGTCGTGGATCATGGCTTAGGTTGTCCTTCTGCCTGACTATAGTGGAGGCGAGAGTTGAGACTCTTGCGGGGAAGTAGAAGATAGTATAAACTTTGCATAGGCAAGGCTTCGACTTGTGGATTCAAAGTGGGGGATAGAACGACTTACCCCATGCCAAAGTTGTCAATATTTCCGCGGACATGGTACGCTAGCACAGGGGTCAATTTTACTTTCGACCAAAAGACGAACACGACCCTTTGCCGGGTATTTTTGAAAAAGCATGTTCGAGACTTGATTTTTGCATCTCCGACGCGGTGTCGCGGGTACAGTCAAACGACCAAGACATCAGCTCCTGAGATGCAACTTTCGTCGTACCATGTACAGCATCAGGAGTGCCGGCACGGCAAGCCCATGACGCCAGATTTCTCGTATACAGCCATTCCCTGTTCTTTTTCGTATATTGCCGGTCAGCAGTAAAAGGCCGGAGTGCCCCGTGAAGCCGGGGCACGTGTCGACCCGAACGGCAGTTCTGAACACCTCATCTGCTTTCATATTGCGGGCACTTAGGATCGAATTTCCTAGGTCGGTCAATTAAGAAATCGCAGACGTGTACTAGATACGTCATCATTCAGCCTGAAAGCATTCTCGATAGGTTTGTCTGCATCATCAACGGGAGATTCGTGTTTTAAGGTTCACATGCTGCAGTTCCTCTGACTAAGTCCAAGCAGCATCTATCTTCCTTCTTGTCATCGCCGACGCCGCCGACATCGCCGACACCGCCGACTCTACAATCTCGGCGGGATCCGTCAATTCTTGAGTTTCGGCGACCCAAGACCAAGTGCCGACCTTAAATTAAACAAAAGGGGTCGAACTCACCAGTTCCGACAAAAATGACTTTGTCGACAACTTACAACGCTTTGCCCGAGGAGGAGCATCAAGCGGACAGCGAATTTGACGCAAGCCGTCAAGCTGTCTGCGTGACCCGTCTAGAAGCAAGAATAGCCCACTTGCAAACCACTCTATGGGTCACGGTCTGCATTCTAGTCGCGGTAATTGTCTTTGAGGCTATTCACTTGCATCGGGACATTCACCGCGGTGGCGGACGGCCAGGTGCTCTTGGCAAATCACCGACAGTCTCAGAAGCTCAACTGGGAAAATGTACGTCTTCCCGGTCCCTTCCAAGAAGAAACAAAACAGCTTCAAGTGCTTACCTGTTCCTAAAGGGCCTCTGGTCACCACGACGTTCGCCCGCGATGATGACTTTGATGGACCGCCTTCGGAAAAGAGCGCCGCAGCTTGGGATAACCTGATACCGGGTGTGTATGCCCCATGATATCTTGAGCCTATATACGGGTCCAACTGGGGAGGCAAGGCTGACAAGAAGAAAATTAATTCAGTCGGCCGCGGCTTTGTCAAACCAAACGATTCCGGAATATCTGCCTTCCATCAGCTCCATTGCCTGGTAACCTCCAATTCTCACATACGCTTGCGTTTCAATGGTGCAAACAGAGTACTAATGTGCTGCAGTACATAATCAGAGAAGGCTATTACGCACTGGCCGTAAACGGGACCCTCATGGGAGCTGACGCGACGCCAGAAAGCCGCGCGTGGAACCACACACAGGACGGCCATCTGGACCATTGCTTCGACTACTTGCGACAGTCTCTGATGTGCTTCGCGGACCCTACCTTGGAAGAGTCGCCCGTACACAAAGAGCCAGGATGGAATGCGACACATGCATGCAATGATTGGGATAGGTTGTTTGACTGGGCAAAGACAAACCGTTACGATGACGCCGTTGGTATAGATACAGGTGTCTAGGCGAGAGTTTAGAATATATACACAGGAATTTTAGACATTTGTGTGGAGAATTTGGATGCGACCTTGCAGAGTTTGATCGAGAAGTCGTCGGCTTTGGAGGCACCGCCGTAGCGGCTGCTCCACGTCCAGTACCGGTCTCCTTATCAGAGAGGTTAACGTAGTGGTTAGTGTTCAGAGTAGAAGTCGAAGACACGAAAGGGAACAACTTAGGCTTGCCCTAGTTGCAGAGCTTCATGATGTCAATGGTGGACAAAATTTTGGGGACTTACTTGATGGTCTTGGCTTTGAGACCGGGAATCAGAATCGAACATTGTGTGGCAATAGCATTCTCAGCTTCGACAGGGCCTCTCCGCTTTATTATTATTGGAAGATGAATCAATTCATGGGTTTCAATTCTGTTGCACTCTCTATCATACACACTGTCTCTTTTGCCCCGCTAAAATCCACGAAAGCTTTGAACATTGCGACCTGCAGTGCTCGAGGTACAAGATTGCTGAGGTGCCCCGCCGTTACCATCAGCAAATTTTGTTTCTTCCGCGTTCAGAGAAGCTGATGCCTTCCTCGTAGGGCAAATGGAATTCATATGGGATGACCCTTGAATTCTACTTCAGCTGCCTCAAAGGCTTTCGTCAAGTCACTTAACGCATTGCCAGAATCAAATCCGAAGATTGGGGATTTGACAGCCACCTTGCGAAGATTGGGAAGCCTGCCTGCCAGGAGGGATGATCGTAGGCGAAGGAGCATCTCGGCAAATGGCTCGGCAACGGCATCAGTATTGTCTCGGGGGTGGAGGACATAGTCGTCCGGTGCCCGTACTTCATAAAGCATGCGATATAGAAATCTCGGGTCTCCGTACCACATGTCGTAAATCGTCAGATTCTCAATATTCGGAGGGAGGCGACCGGAAACGTCTGCCAAAGCCATGTCTTCCAGACTCTTGAACAGGCAAGGGACGTCTGCTTGCAAATTGACCAAGTTGTGCATCTTGGAAAGCCAGGAACGTTCTGGTTCGTCTTCGAAGAAGAGCAAACAATTGCCCTTTGTCCGCAAGGTGAGAGTGCTGAGTTTTGGACATGCCGTTGTGATGGCTGTCGAAATGCGAGCTGTTTCCGTTCCATAGGTGATTCCATGCTCGTCATGGGGGTTTGGGCAATCCATCACTATCTCGAGCTTCTTGAGGTCAGGACAACGCTCTAACAGGGAGCATAAAGCGGAGCCAGTCTTGGTCTCCTGGTAGAGAGAGAGTTCCTGGAGAGCCAGAGGCGCAGCCCGGCCAGTTTCGCTGAGTGATGCCCACTGACTGGAGTCAGACTAGGAAGTGAATGATTTAAGGGTCGGCAATGCGAGCAACCCGGGTACAGGGAACCTGGAAAACCTGGTGAGGATAGGCGGCCATTCAAAGAAACGGTAGACATTTCCGTGGATCTCCAACCGTTGCAAGTGAGTGAGGACTTTGTGCTTGAAGTTCTCGTTTCGGTCGGGACTGCCAGCGTCGTTGCCACCGTAAGTAGAATGGAAAGCTGAGATGAAGCGATCGATACCACTGGGGCTTTCGCGATTGATTCGGGGAGGAGAATAGAGGTCCGCACGTCTCTCGTCGACAGGATGAGTGCGATCGCGGTCATCGAACCCTATCGTCAGATGCTCAAGCCGGGTAGTCAAAGACAACATGAGGCCAGCGAAAATCTCGAAAGATTCCTCAACGTCATCGTCAGTGAGTGTGCCGGTCTGCTGCTCCTTAACACCGCAGTGCTCGAGAGCGCCGAGGAGGGATGTGGGTATCTTGTTGAGGTCGATCTTCTCGTAGATGGTGTGAACGCCATCGTAGGCCTCTCTCTCACGATTCAGAGCAAACCCGAGACAAAGACCTCTAACGTGGGTACAGAATCGGGGTTCCTCGATGAATGATCGCAAGAGTAATCCCATTTGCTTGCCCTTGGTCAAGTATATGTCGGAGAACAGCTGTCTCTGGCTGGGGTGTCGAAGGGCTCGACAGGTACGGGAGAGTGCCATGATAGCCAGCCTGGTGGTGCTCCGGAAGTGAGCAATGGACTTTGGTTTCGAAGGTTGAATATTGAAAGTCGGCAATCTGGGGTCGGGGGGAATGCTCTCAGAATCTCCAAGATGATTTCGCCGGGGAGGCCGAGGAGGAAAGATCGCGATGATTGATCAGCGGTGCTGTCGGAAGTCCCCATGATTGAAAGAGTGCAGCAAGCCGGCTTTTCGACCTGAGTGATGCGGTGGTCCGTAGCCTTTCTTGTTGAGGAGTCGCTGTCGGGGATGTCGGTGTGTGAGGAACCACCGCGGTGGACATGGTCGTTCGGGGTGTCATCACCGTGGGCATCATTGCTGCCGATGTCACCGGGAGGCGCTTGCGGTGATATGGGGGAGTTCACCATCTCGATGAAAGATATTCGGTGCTCGCACCTTGCCGTGGTTCGCGTCTGAGGAAGTATGGGCGATGTGGTGTGGTTGAAAGCGAGAGAAGGGAAAAGAAAATTACGGTGGACGGTAGCTCTCATAATAAGGGCACCTCTCGCTCTCCTCAATGGCAGGGGTGAAAAATTCTGCTTTTCCCAGCCTCAAGGGAACCAAACGCCATCCAAAGCAAGAGCAAACAGCGTCTAGGTAGGAAGGAAGGACGGGTAACCGCTGTGCCTACCCCCGATTGCGCCTTCCTGAATCCAAAGTCTGCGCTGAGCGCGGGCAAAAGTCCGACAAACATTCCATCTTTATTCCAACTACTGAAGTCTCAGTGAATCTCAGCAGATAGCACCTTCTCATCTGCTTGGTCGTGCACACAATACTGAGGTGGTGATGATGTATGCACCACCTAGTGCCTGTTCCACTTGGGGCGCCACACGGCAAAGGATGTGGCTGGTCGCGGCTGCTGCACGGGCCTGGGGCGGTGCTTGGTGGCTGTTGCCCCAACAACGCGCCACAAAAGCCCCCTGACTCCTTCTGTTATCGTTATCGGGATCAACATCACAACACTAAACATCCATTTCAATCCCTCCTCCACTGCCGAAAACAATCTCCCGACTGCAACTCCTCAGCACCCAACTAATCCGGAGACTCGCGGGCCACCTGCCGCGACGATAATAACCATGGCAGCCTCCGACGACCTCATCAACTTCGACATCATCGAAGCGCAAAAAGAAAACATTCAAGCGCTGCCGAGCGGACGCTCCGCCAAAAAGTTGGCCGAGCTGTTCTCCCCTTCTCCCCTGCACAAGCTCGACACCCCTACGCCGTCAGACACCCAGAACGTGAATGACTGCATCCGTGCCGAGTATGAGGCAGAGATTGAGAACATCTCCGACTCAGACGATCCCCTCGATATCTTCGACCGCTACGTCCGTTGGACCCTCGACGCATACCCCTCCGCGCAAGCCACACCGGCGTCGCAGCTGCACACAATCCTCGAGCGCGCCACCAAAGCCTTCGTCAACTCAGCACAGTACAAGAACGACCCTAGGTATCTCAAGCTCTGGGTTCTTTACATTCAGTTCTTCAGCGACTCGCCCCGCGAAACGTTCCTGTTCCTCTCGCGGCACAACATTGGCGAGACACTGGCCTTGTTCTACGAAGAATACGCTGCCTGGCTGGAGGGAGCGGGCAGATGGAACCAAGCTGAGGAGGTCTACAAGCTGGGCATTGAGCGCGAAGCAAGACCTGTCCAGCGCTTGATGCGCAAGTTCAAGGAGTTCGAGGAGAGACTCGCCCAACAACCAGAGGAAGCCGTCAGACCCTCCTCGCCAGCACTGCCCACCATGCGACCGGCTCTGGCCGCCAAGATCGACCCATTCGCTGCTGCCCGCGCAGCTGCTGCAGACCCCCAGGCACCCCGCCCGAACCAGGGCGTCGGCGGCCCTGCCTCCAAGCCTGGCAAGGCGAAGATGGCCATTTTCTCAGACGCCGATGCCGCCCCACCGGCACTGTCTGCGCGTGAATCTGGGTCCAAGGGCTGGGATTCCATCGGCTCGTTGGCCGACCGCAAGAAGGAGAACGTGATGGAGCCCAAGCCGTGGGCGGGTGAGACGTTGAAGGCGGGTGGAAAGAAGAGCACTGCTCCCAAGATGGCGATTTTCAGGGATACGGTATGTCCTACGTTCACTTTTACCTCCCAATGCCCAGATGTTGATGATTATAGGACTAATGGGTGGCTTTGGCGTTTTATGTATTTCAGTCTAAGTTGCAGCCGAGAGCGCAACCTCAATCACGATCACAATCACGAGCACAGATGTCAAAGTCTCATATTACTCTTGTGCCTGCCAAGAATCAGATAGTAGTGAATCCTGTTAGTGGCAAGAAGGAGCGCATCTTCATCAACTTGGAGGCTGTTTACCCTACTCCAGAGGAGCCTGGCTCTGAGCTGGCTTTTGAGGAGATTTGGGCAATGAACAGAGGCTGGCTGGGCCGCAACTGGGATGAAGAGCCTCTGGATGAGAGCGCCATTCCTGAAATGATGAGTGCCGAGACTTCGGCAGTTGATAACCTAGGTCACATGATGCAGGAGAAGTTGGCAGTCCACACAGAGTCTGTGATGATGGACGAGAACGGCGCCATCATCAAGCCGAAGGGGAAGAGCAAGAAGAAGAAGGTGATGGAGGTTAATGAGACACAAATTAGTAAGTCGGCTTTGAGACATGAATTGCACCTAATTGCTAACGCCTCATCAGTCAAGGCGAACCTGGACTCACCCTCCAGGCCGAAGCTCAAGAAGAGGAACACTTCTGAACCAACAATGACCATCCATACCAGGGCTGCGACAGACGAGATTTACGAGATCTTTAACCAGCCCATTCAGTCTGCGCCCCAGGAAGAAGAGGAGGAAGAGGAAGAGGAGAGCGATGATGACGACTACGAAACAGACGGCGATTACACCGAAGCAGAAAGCACCATTACCACCCGCCAAGTCGATATGGACGACGATGGAGAGGAAGATGACGACGCTTCGGATGCGAAGAGTATCAGTGAATGGTCCGACTTCTCGACGCGGAAGCATGTGCCAGACCTCAATGGCGACGTCACGGAGGCCGACGGAGACAACACGCAAGTCTCTGATCTCATGGACCCCAACTATGTCGAGCCGTCTGAACCATTGGCCAATGATCACACGAGTTCTCGTGAGACAGGAGAGTCGGACGCTGAGGAAGAAGAGGAAGACGATGAAGACTATCCGCCCAGGACGAAGACTATGTTCGTCCCGATACCGCCTGAGGATTATGAGCCAAGGACACGACCGTTTAGAGATGCGGCGGAGGTGGCTAACAATCGACTTCCCTTCATGACCCCCATTACTGAGAGAACAGAGTCTTCGCTAGCGTTCACCGAACGCAAAGCAAGATATGAGACCCCTAGTCGAGACGACGCCGCCTCGACCATCGACGAAGAGGAGGACGATGACATGCAGGACCCTCCCAGCAGTCCCTTGCAAGAAGTGAGCACTTTCAGCCCCGTCAAGATTCCACAGCCTCTTCTTGGAAAGCCAAAGACCTCCGCGAAACCGGTGTCTCAGAAGGGCCCCATCATCAAGGAGCTTCAATGCAACCCAGTCGACGACGCAGTCAGAAACGAGATCCTTGAGAACATGCAGCCTCCTCTAAGCTCATACCCTGGGTTTTACGACCATCGTAATGAAAAGTACGAGAAGGGCAACGACATTCGCAAATTCGCCAAGGCCATGTCCAAGGCAGCCAGGGGAGAGCGTATGAGCAATGCCTGCGCACTGGTCACCGTCGATTTCCCTGACGATTCAACCCAGTACACCATTAGGAAGGAACTGGGGGCAGGCGCATTCGCCCCTGTTTACCTCGTTGAAAACTCCTCTGCCGACGAAGAAGACGAAGACGGCGTCGTCGCCATGGGCAAGGGAGCATTCGCCGTCAACCACCGCACCGCCTTGGAGGCGCTCAAGATGGAACTTCCCCCGTCACCTTGGGAATTCCACATGATGCGCCTCGCTCACACCCGCCTCGGTCCCCAGCACCGTGCAGCCGCCTCCCTCTCATACGCCCACGAGTTCCATCTTTACCAAGATGAGGGCTTCCTGTTCCTTCCCTTCCACCCTCACGGCAGCCTCCTCGATGTTGTGAACTTCTTCCGTGCGGAGCCATCAGCCGTTATGGACGAGCAGCTCGCCATGTTCTTCACCATTGAACTCTTCCGCACTGTTGAGGCACTTCACGCTCGCGGTGTCCTCCACGGCGACCTCAAAGCCGACAACTGCCTCCTCCGACTCGATGGCACCAGCACCAACAGCACCCTCGACACCCAATACCATGCCGACGGCACCGGCGGCTGGGACGCTCGCGGTGTGACCCTCATCGACTTCGGCCGCGGCATCGACATGCGCAACTTCGAGCCCGACGTCGGCTTCATTGCCGACTGGAAGACCAGCGCCCAGGACTGTGCCGAGATGCGCGAGGGCCGGCCCTGGACGTGGCAGATTGACTACCACGGCCTCGCTGGCATCGTCCACTGCCTCCTCTTTGGAAAGTACATCGATGCCGTCCGCTGCGATCAGGGCGGCATCGGCTCTGGGCGCAAGTACCGTGTGCGCGAGAGTCTCAAGAGGTACTGGCAGACGGACATTTGGAGCGAGTGTTTCGACGTCCTGTTGAACCCCGGGTCCTTCGTTGCCACGGAGGAGAACGCAAAGATGCCGGTGTTGAAGAGCATGCGTGGTGTCAGGGAGAAGATGGAGGCCTGGCTCGAGGGTAACTGTGAGAGGGGTGTCGGGCTGAAGAGTCTTGTGGGCAAGGTTGAGGCCTTCGCCAAGGGGCGGCGATGAGTTTTGTCATGATGCTTGATGATGGACGTGCTGGCGTTTCTTAGAGGGATGGAGAGGATTGTATATTGTCGTTTTTGAACTATACCACTGTGCGCTTTGCTTTGTTATGACATGAATATTATTTCCTTCGATATGCAAACATCTACTGGTATGTTAGACTGTCCTTGAAGTGTCATTTCTTCGGTAGCTTCCACTAGTACGCATGTCCCATATACGATGACGGCGGTCAAGGGACGTATGACAGGCCCTTGGAATGCGTTCAGGGTATTTAACGACCCACTAAGGCTGGAGAGGCAGTCATAGGCCACAAATCAAATCAACGCAAGAACTCAATTGTGGTCATCCCTCAAGGCCTGCTTCAAGGGGTTCCCCCACTCCTATTGGTGCTTTGCCGCAGGCCTGTTCGTTGTATGCAAGTTGAAGTCGTGTACACTTGTATAAGTTGAGAATACTTCGGAACAGGGGCATGATGGACGATGAGAACCAAGGATGATATGTCTTCCTGCGAGGAAAAACTGTTGATAGGTTCGAGTGACAAGCGCCAATTCTCAAGCTTTGAGCTACTGGTCACTGGTCATACGGAGAGCTCAGTGATTACCCCATTTTCATTTCTTTCCGCAAACAATGACCAGAAATCTCTGTAATCTGTGTGTTCTTATACTTGACAGTTTGCGTGTTGAGATGAGAGTTTCAATACAGTCAATTGATCAATACGTCCATGCAGATTTACAGGTTAGTGGTGTGTTTACAGAGATGGTAAGAACTGCAATCCGTTAAATTTATAGCATGGTGTCTAATGAAGGTAGGAGCTGCAGGCAACTCAATCATCAAGACAATCTAGACCATTTCGCATGACTCGGGGATTGGGCTTGACGTATATGCTTGGGCATGAAAGGGTTTTGAATACGTGAACGACTGTGACGGATGACCGTGATAACGAATGATTAGTAGGGTATGCTGGGGCTAAATTCTTCGATTGTCGCTTGTGTATCCTATCATGCGAATCTTTGTGTCATCTGGGAAGTCCGTAGGATAGCGTGCTTGATGTTATTGGTCACTTTTTGTTCAGTCTCGTCTGATTGTGTGGTGGAACAAATGATGTGTCTGCGGTTAAATCGGCTTTTATAAACATTTCTTCTTAGGTCACTCAAGTGCCTGAAGAATGTCACGCTGAAACCATCTACATATCAGGTCTGTGTAGTTCCCGATGAGCTAGTCTCTTCGCAATTCGTTGTTATGAATCAAGATGGGGCAAGCCTGGTCTGGGGCAGCTTCTCCCCAGTCACTTGACTTACCTTATCTTGAAGGCATTGCTGCTGGTCTATAGGAGCTAGACTTTAAGATTCTCTTGCCGCTATCAAGCGAATACATGTTTGAATACCTGAGATATGATAATGATAGACGGATGTAGAGTAGCCTGGTCTCATAGTGACTTGGATTCATGCACACAAGTCGTGACCAGATGTGTCTACTGTCCTGTGCTGACTACTGTCTTCGCTCCAGGTCATAAGATGGACAGATTTGTTGTCTTCTAGCACCCTTGAGTAGCAAATGAGAAGGTATTTATGGCCTTACAGACCCCTTGCGATACACGCCTCATGAGCAGCCACCATTCTGAATGACACCAGGCTGATATCAAACGATCTTGCACTTAAATGGCTTTCTTGCCGGAAAACCACCTCAACGCACGTGTGGTTAAGGCTACAACTATTCCCGTAGATAATTGGCGTACTATCAAACAGAATCACCTCCTTAATACTAAGAGAATGAAAGAAAGCGGTAGATACGATGTAAGGTATGCATGTTGCATCTCTCTGGAGACATGATGCAGAAACTAAAAGGCCTTGATCGTTTGCCCATGATAATGAGAGAAGACAGAATTGAGATGAGACTCTCATTGTTGCGGCTGAGAAGAGTCCAATGTTGAGGACCCGATCTTTCATATAGTACTGGTTCCATACGGATTCATACAGACCGATTAAATATTTGATTTGGGATTGTATGTAGTCGAACACGTGAGCGAAACGAAGCCGTTCGTAGCTCAAATCACAGCCTAGACTGCGCGAACCGTGTGAAACGATGACCACATAGTTCAAATAGGTATTTTGCTTCTTGTATGCTTCTTACCAGAAAGACGTTGGAAATGTCTTCTTTCTTGCCAACGGCCGTGTTTTTAACGGCAGACGTTGCTTGATTGTCTGACTACACGTGACGGGCCCCTGGGAAGGAACGTACAAGGCTCCGTCCCTGATTACACTGGAGGATTTGGGCGCGGCAGGTCTCAGCAGTCTTACATGTAGGAGCTGATACCGCTCGCAAGGTAGTACTGCCTGTGCCAATGCAGATACGGGAATCCTGTCTGAGGCTGGGAACAGTTTCTGCTGACGAGTGAAGTTGCACGGCTGTGGCGAAGAGAACCCCCCGGCTAGGTGCCGTAGATGTGGAACGCTGTACTGCGCAAGTGTAAGCAATGTTCCAGACAATACGTTACAGACTTCGGCCGATCCATCTTCGGGCCGTGACTTGTGCAACCAGTTGGTGTGCTGTCTTCCAGCTGAGCTCCCTCAAATATTGCCAGAGCCCAACTCCTTGACCCGGTGATGCGTGTAACCGGGCTAGAATAAAGTGCCGTGGCTGGGTTCAACTCGTCACACCTTTTCCGAGTACTCTATGCGACGAAAGACATCCTTGGCCCCCCACGCCCCTTTAATTCACGGTTCTGCTTGCCCTCGATAAACGACGGGTTTCCCCACTCCCTAAGTTAGTCCAAAGCTCTTCTTTGCATATAGCTCCGTAACGTCATCTCCACACTATCTGCGAAACTTCCTCGTCATCGAACGAATCGCCAGGACTTAATAGAAATACTATGCCGCAAACTCCTCCTCCGTCTCGCTCTGAAGCGTCCCCTGACCGTGGGGATGATGCTGACGAAAGCCTTCTTTCCGCCAGCGAGGGGCGCCTTAGACAACGACGACAAAACTTCTGGCTTCGAAGAAGTGTTTTGATAGCCTTTGCTTTCTTATTCATCATCTGCGGCGCAGCACTGATTGGCGTATCCCGGCATGCAACAGCACAAAATGGGCTCCCGCTCTCACTGTCTTCGAGCAGTTAGTCATGGACCTACGGACCTACTGGAGTGCTCGTAGTCATACTTGCACTTTGGCGGCAAGTCGACTTTAATTGCAGATCCATGCAACCATGGTGGGAAATGGCCCATGGGCCCTCCAAAGCTGATCGATCAATTCTTCTCGACTACATTTCCCCATTTCAACCGATTGTCTGCGTCAGCGCGTTCAAGAACGGCCATTACGCGGTCTTCATGTCGACTTTGACATTTCTCGTTCTCAAGTTGATCATTCTTCTTTCCACGACATTATTCCTGGTCGAACCAACGCAGCACTTGGAATCGATACCCTTCCGCTATCAAAATACGTTCAACTCTGAACACATGTGGAACTCGCCCCAAGATGCCGTGGAGGGTAACGCGACCGTTGAAAGGCTTTCAAGGCATGGTGATGCCTCGATATGGTCCTTTATAGCAACACTCCACAATGCTACATCAAAAGGCCAGCGTAACGCAAATTTGGGGAATATGGCATATCAGTTGCTTAGTCCACCAGAGGTTTCGTCAAACATTTCCTCCGTTTCGGCCATCGTCGATGTATTCGTACCTAGCGTCAGTTGCGAAGAAGCGTCTCTATCGCTTCCCAGAACCACGTTCACCGACAAGGAGACGACGGCGTACTACAGATTCAATTCACCATCCTGTTCCTCCGGTGACTTGGAGGCCTTAAACCTTCATTGTGCACACCCCTGTAGCAACACAAGACGAGCCTACTCAGTTCTCTGGGTGGATTGTACATCACACGACAGTCTCCACAAGAAGCGTTCCTCAGAGGCATCTTATCCTGACATTCGCTACGCAATCACAGTAGCAGACCTGTCGACGACGTTCCAGAATACTAAATACAATAGCGTCAATATTCAGAGGGCTTCGGCAACAATCTGCAAAGTTGGCTACGGTATGGCCTTAGCAAATGCAACACGGGACACCTTACGTGACCAAACCACTTTAAGCGAGAATCCCATAGTCAGCGGCTCTCCAAGACACTTGCCAAATCTGAAAAATTACGACCTTGCAGAGATATTGCTCGCAAATCTCTATGTTGCCTCTGCCACATTATTGGTGGATCCGAGCATCGGCGTATCGTCAGAGTCAGAATACGCCTTTTCACTCTTTCAATTATTAGCGGTCCAACTCAAGTTAAGAAATGAGAACTTTGACGCGCTCTTTCAGCCCATTCGCCTAAAGAAGCTGTCTGAGGTTGTTTTTGAAGGCATAGCCACCGAGTTTGCTAAAAAGGCTTTGCTTGTGGAAGTTTCAGCCAAAGGATCTTTCGAAGCCGTCGGACATGTTATCGAAAACCGATTACACCTTCAACATTACACTCTCTGGCTTATAGTGCCCGGGTTCTTTCTTCTCTCATTACTCTGCATGGTTGTTTTCTTCATTATCAGCAAGGGCGGAAACCAGCTTGATATTGCTGGATCCATTGCCTCATACGCCTCTATTCTCGCCAACAGCCCGTCTCTGCTTGCTGTACTGAAAGACACTGGTTACTACAGAAACAGCAAACTCAGAATGAAGGTCCAAACTTTGAAATTCACGGTCATCTCCTCCGAAAATGGGCCACAAATTGAAGCCTCCGGCAGGACTCATGAGGCGCTACCTCCAGACGCAGACGGCCAGCACGAGCAAAACCCATGGCTTCCTCTCCCCGCAAGGCTACCTGTGGTGTTTCTGTGCTTTTTTACTACCCACTATCATAATTATTTTCCTCGAGATTCTTCAACATTTTTCAGACAGACTCAACGGTCTATTAGACATCAACAGCAACAGTTCAGCTACACTATCCTACGCCATTCCATTGGCATCTACGCTCGTTGCTTTTCTCATTGCCACATTATTCAACAACCTGGATTTCTCTATAGCTGTTTTC